CGCAGCAGCGCTCGTCGGGCTGCTCAAACCGCGTGGTACGTTCTATCGCAATGTTCGCCGTTGTCTTCTGACCCCAGTATACGTGTTCGGTGGACGTGGGCTGCCAGTCGCATGATCCTACCTTGGCGCGCTGCGCTTGAATTCTCGGTTCCATATGTGTTCCTGGTACAATGAACGACTGTATAGCTTCAGAACTTAGGAGGTCGGACCCTGGATGTCATTGCCGTTATGACGCTCGGCGAAAGCGACTATTCGCGCTGACAATGCGCTAAGGTCAAAGTATTCAAACCCAGGGCCGTCCTCATCTTGCAACTGTCTTTATCTGCGAACGCCAGCTACCTGCGCGCCTCGAACGCAGGACAGCGTCCTGAACCTGTATTGAACTAATGCGCGTCCAACTGGGTATGGCTCATGTTCTGTTTAAGTTCATACTTACCTTCAGCACCCCTCTCCCCGTGCATTCATATGCTGTCCCCGTGCATTCAGGTCAGCCGACCCCTCAAAGTCTTGTCCGCTTATTTTCTTTGAATGTTCAGGCGCCATCCTCTGTCTGTTCCCCACCGTTATATCTAGTTCGTTCACCCCAGTGGTTCTGATATTCGAAGATGACCTGGCTACCTATGCTCAGTACGCCCGGTCGTCTTGAGCTGCCGCCTCGACGCATTCCTACTACGCGCCAAAATTGCATCTGCGAGACTCGGGAAAACTGACCATTCTCAGTGCACCTCAATCTCGTGAGAACCAAGAAGAATCAGCGGCGTTGTTATTCTGGTGGCATTTCTTCAAGTATGTATGTTTGTACCTATAATCAATATATAGCCGAGATGGGTACGGGGGGAGGGTGGAAGCGTCCATGTGCACAGCCGTGGCCAGAAACTCGTGTCCGAAAAGATATAGGAAACAAAGAGTCAGAAAGCAGCGAGTGGGAAAAAACGTGGGCGAGTAGCCAAAGAGAAAGAGATGAGCAGGATCAAGGCGGGAACAGCTAGAAGGAGAAGCAACAAGCAGACGATCTGCAGGGATTCCCACCGCCACCAAAGGGACCGCGCGCGGGCATCGCAAGGCTAATGGCGCTCCCACCACCGCCACCTACTGGCGAGTATAGCCGCGAAGTATGCAGTAATGGTAGCGATAGCCTTGGATCACCACGGTGATGGCTTTCAGATCTACGGTCACAATAGCGCTGAGCTACCGCCGCGGGACCGCATATTGCATATGCTCATGTTGAACGAGAGCAGCTCCCCACTCGCTGCGCGTATGCGAGGGGTGGGCGTGCCATGAGTCGAATCCGGCCCATTGCTGAGAGAGGCGGCAGGCCGGTAGACGCGGTCATACGCAAGTAGGAAGGTGCGCTATGCGCTCGTCGGGTGGCCCGTCCCGAGGCGCACCCTCAACCTGCTGCCTGAGCGAGATGACATGCTCACCAAGGCCGGCAAGACAGGGGGACTTAAATCCGACTCGTCGTGCCGCGCAGTTGTTGCAGAACCTTGCGGTCGCTGCTAAAATTCTTTGGTTCGCCGGATACGGCAAAGGAACGGCTGAGGTAGCCGTCATGCTGGTCGGTCGAGATTATGATGACGGCTTTAGCCTGTCGTTGAAGACCCAGCCTCGTCACCGTCGCTTCCTTCTCTGGCACCATCACCCTGTATATCGCAGGACGCTGCTTTGCATTCGCCGTCTTTGACGTGCTTGGCGAGCGCATCTTTTCGGGCAAATTTTGTCTTGCAAGCCAGGCAAGGGAATTTGGCCTGCAGGTGGAAGCCTTGGATGTGCTTGGATATCGCGGATCTGTCACGGAAGCGATGCCCGCCTTTTCTGTAGCACTTGCCGATGTAGCAGATCATGTTGTCGCGGTCCACAACCTCTCGATGATGCTCCTTTGTATGGTCCGTGATCTCTGCACGCTCCCCCGACAATGGGAACCCGCAGCAAGTACCGTCTATCGTCTGTACGGGACAGTGGTAGCCGGACGGCGTTGTATGCGAGCAAGAGGACGTGCCTGTGGAAGGCGCAGGAACTGCCCATGGCACGAAAGCTGGTGCTCCGGAGGGCGCAGCCGAGGCGCTTGACATAGACGACGCGGAAGCAACAGCGCGTGCACGACGACGCGGTCTCGCTGCACGGGGAGGGTGTTCGGTTGTCGACAAAAGTGACTTTGCGCTCGTTGCAGGTTTCAGCGAACGATCACCAGACGAGCGCTGCGTTGGTAGGCGTCGTGTAGTTTGGTGACCTCCTTGGGGGACGTTAGAGGCATACCGCGCACGAGCACCCGCTGCGACGGGCGACTCAGAGCGATCATGTTGATGCACATCTTCATAGTGAGGCAACCCCGGAGCAGGATATCCGGGCGGTGCGTGTCCGCCGGGGTACGAGAAGGGCGACTGAGCGGATTGAAAGCGCTGCGCGTCGGAGGGCACGAAGCCAGGAAGCGGGTCCATATGGGCGGGCGCTGAAGGCTGGGCATCCGTCCACGGCTGGTTCGCTGGGGAACCGCAGTAGTCCGATGTCAGATTGAATGACGAAGTAGCCATGTTACCGTACTGCGACGGCATGTTCAATGAGTGTGAGTTCGGCGCGGAGTCGAAGTAGTCAGTGCCACCATTGGCGAACCCGCCAAATGGCGGGATGCGAGTGTCAAGACCTACACCAGTAAGATCAACTTGAGCGTAGTCATAGTTCAAACCACCACTGGCGTGACAGGGTACCACGGCGGGCTCGGGATACAGGTTCTGGGAGCCCGAAGGTGAGAAATCTGGAGCACGGGACTGAAGAAATCGATGATCAGCCGCGCCCAGAGCAAACGCTGGCAAAACACGCACCACTGGTCGCCACGGTACCCCCATAATATCATACTCGCGCCCAAATCCCGAGTCTGAAGCTTGCCCTCGGCCTTGGGTGTCTTGGTAATAGCATGATGTTGTGGCAGGGATGCCGAAGTGGCCTGGGTCATATTGACTCGTATCCGTGTCCGTGCATATGCCACGGGGATCGTGGTGATAGTCTTGCGCGGCATGACCGCTGTCGAGATTGAAGTCATCGCCGTACTGTTGCAGCGGCAGGCCGTTGTTCAGCGAAATGTCGAACGTGTTGACGAGGCCGCGGCTGTGATTCCCGGGCAAAGGACTGTCCAAGGCGTTCGTGAAGGCGCAGCCGTTCTCGCCGTCGAACTGAGTGTTCCCCCGCTGAAGGTCCCAGTGCAGACCTTCGTGAATTTTGGTTCCTCTAGGAAGAAGGCGTCAGAGCCAGCGATGGACCAGGACAAGCAAAGCACATACGGCATGTTCAGGATGAGACTTGGGTGGCAGATACGACAGATATATGCTGTCAAAAGCTGGGAATATGATACTGTCGATTTGAGTTGTGGCAAAATGTAAAATGCAGGGTAAGCCGTTCAATGCGATGCAGGAGGAAGGTGCGAAAGCAGAAGGCGAAAGGCAAAGCGGCTGATCTCAAGGTCAACCGAAAACGTGACCGCACAACTCGAAGCGGGCCCGCGTTTGGGATCAAGCCTTGTTTGTCTTCTGCGGCCGTGTTCATGTGGCGTCGTGTCGCGTATAGGACAAACGTGAGCGTCACCCAGCAGAGACGCACAAGACAGCTACGCGATAGATCCTTGTGATATTCTCTTTTCGGCATGCAAAGGATTCCTGATTCACGACTCAGACGCGAGTCCTGGCGATTATTGTGAAGTCGAGTACGTACATGGATTCTCCCACGTTCGACCTCTCTTCTCAAATGCCGTTGTCAATGGCCTGCTTTTGTGGCTCTGTGGCATTCTCGTTATCAGGCGGAGGCCCTTCGCTCGCGGAGTAGACCCTGTGGCATGGGACGGGCCGTACGATGCCACAGTCAAAATTGTCTGGTACAGTATCAACGGCGGGCGATACAAAGGTAGGCAGTGGCTGGACGAACCGGAGCGCTGCCACGTCCCTACGTCTCTCTTGCAGCTAGACGGTGGTCGTTCAGTACCCCATCCTTGCTGATCGGTCGTCGCGTCCTCGCACTTGTCTCGCTATGCGAGTTAGGCATCGTCTGTTTCCGTCTTCGCTTCTCATTAGAGTGCTTCCACATGCAGACGCCTAGGTCGAGTCCTGCTCCTTGCCATACGGCGAAGCGGCTGGGACATTCTTCTGCAAAGGACGGGTACTTGCATGGTACGCCAGTCTACGGCCCTCAGCAATCACATCGCACCTGAGCATTTCAGAAGATCCGTCAATTTATCATGACAGAATAGCTACTAAGTCAGACGATTCGACGTGAACTGTTTCTTGTTCTGTCTGCAGGTGTGTGAGCGAATCTGACCATCGATCAAAAGTGACTGCATACCCACCTGAAGAAAAGATGACACGGCGTCAGAGTTCAACAGAGGCACGCTTATGAGGGCATACACTGCTGGAGAACGCGCAACATAGGGCCCGTCGATGCTCTCTCGCGAGTCGCGAGCGAGCCTCCTTGCACGGCGATACGACCGTTTCCTCTCATCTATCATATTAGCATCCTAAAAGTTGCTTTGGGGACCTTTGTTCGCGCAAGATCCTTGACGCCGACTTTCGTTGATGAACTGTGAAGTTGAGCGACGTTGACGTTGAGCAACACATGCGTCGCATTAATGTGGTGCGTTCCATCCCTCCCGATGCAGGGGCGGGCTGGGGGCGGGTGGGTTGAGCCTGGGTGGATATTGCAGACTTGCGCGTCACCACTCATCGCCTGTACTTAGATCTTCGTGCGGAGAAAATTCGTGAATGGGCGCAGGACGCGAGGGCAGTCGATGACGGTGCAAAAATCCTGCATTCAGCCACGGCATGCGACGCCGGCCGCGGCAGCTGCGGCAGTGAGCGGCTTCTAACCCGATCCTCCGTTTAGCCTCAAGGTTTGCCATCATGATCCGGCGTCACAAGAACGCGGGGACCTATCCGCCATAACACGACCATACAACGCGTTCGTGCTGAGCTCTTCCCATTCCAATCCGGTGTCTACCACTGAATCAACTGAGTAAAAACGGGCCCAGCCGGGAATTCAACCCGGGACCCCGTGCATCCAAAAGCTCGAAGATTCAAGCGGTCAACGCCCGAAGCACGTATCATACTGCTAGACCACTGAGCCGATGGAAGTCTTGTCCTTGTGTCTGACCCCAATCCAATCCAATTCTATCATATATACAGTTATCATGGCGATGATGTGCTGTATAGCTCAAGCCGAGCCAACAGTAACCTTCCTCCAAAACGTGTGCTGTTGGGGCAGTTCGTGTCTTCCGCATTCCATTGACGACCGACGCACGACATCGCCACACAGGCGGTTCAAGATGGAAGATGTATAAATTATGATATTACGACTCGACCAGCGTAAGTACATCCGAATAGCTCTGGGCCCGACAGCGATATAACTCTAACGAAAGCAACGATTCCACGAAAGCATAATTAGGGTATCGATCGAGGAGAGAGCGCGTCCATCCCCTTCACCATCCTATCTCGCGACCAACATCGTACGGTTCTATCGTGACTCCCCGTGAGCCACGAGCCTTGCGCAACACGTGTCGCTCGAGGTTGTACGTTTCGTACGACTGCGAGGCCAACTTCATCGCCTCGATATGGTGCGGACGCGAGTTGGCAGCAATGGCGTGCTTGCGGCTTTGCCAGATGCATGTCGCGAGATTGAATCCCGTCTGCGGGTCGGGGACGCCGTACCAGTAAAGAATCAACTGGGGAGTCCATCAGCATGGGAAGAGAGTCAGCTGGTGCGGCAGTGACACTCACGCCTCCATTCTTTACGGCCTCTTCGTGTGCTTTGCGGTCTGCTTCGTAAAGCGCTGTAAACGTGTCAGTACCGGGTATACACGGGACATAATACGTATACGTACGTGTGCCGTCGCTGCCATCCTTCCGCCTGCTGCGGAACGCGACGCAGTACCATTCGCGCTCTTCGTCCTCGGGCAGTTCGAGCTCGGACCAATTGAACGCCTCAGCGTAGGGCAGGCTCGCATATTTGCGATTGAACGGCCGGAAACGATGGAGCGCCTTGTGCAGGGAGAGCGACGCGGGGTCGATATCGGGGAGGCGAGTCTCTGTAATCAAAGGCGCCTGTCCCTCGGGTGTCTCGATAATTGTCGAGTAGCGCTCGGGGAGGGATGACAAGAGTGGCGGAAGGTACAGGACTGGTTCGCTGAATTCGCCGTCGAAACTGGGGAGCGCGTGCGGATCGCGAGCGGACGGTGCGCCCGCCAGAGGTAGACTGCCTGCCGCGGCATTTTTGCGTGCGAGCACGGATGGGTGAGGCGGAGCGGTGAATGTGGGTGACATGGTCCGGCCTTTGAGTGCTTGAAAATGTTGTAACTTGGTGTAGGGCAAGAGGCGTTATGGTTGAGAGCAGTATACGTCGAGCCGCGCTTTATATATGAGGGGCTAAAATATTTAATTGCGGTGCGATCGCGCCATCGTTCGCCAGCCCAGCCCGAAGCGGAGGTAAATTCGGCGTCGCGGCAACGAGTCTGACTCTGCTGCTGAATGAGCGAGGCGAAGCGCGATGAACCCAACTTGAAGCTGTGGAGTACATTGTCTGCCAGCTAGAAAGATGAGGAGCTTGCTGTCAGCCACACAAACGGTGACGAGGTCTGCCACGGATACCAGAAATTGGGGCTTGCAGACAGAACGACATCGTGTAAGCGCCGTGATGGAGCCAGTGCTGCCATTGTACTGGTAATATTAGTATACTCGGAGTCGCGAGCGGCACGGCGCCTTCTCTTTGTGAGATGGCGCTGTGGCAATCACGCAATCCGGGCCATGCAGCCTCGAAAGGTTGACGATTCGTTGACGAGCAGGACAGCGAGCGATGGCGGCAGATGTCGAGCAACGAAGAATGCCGCACGTGGGCATTCCCACGATCACTACGCAATTGATGGCAGTCAGCAATGTGGCGCGCACTTCTCCGTTGCTCCCATGCCGTCCAAGTCGCGGCTCTTCTCCGACCGCGCTGACGAGTCAGAGTGCAGCACTTCCTCTCTTGGGGTATTCTCTAACAGCCGGTGCGTCTGAGACGCGCACATAACGCACCTTGGCGCAAACCAATGCGACAGGTCGAGCGCTGTCGGGCCCAACTCCAGACGTGCGTTCAGGCGTCAAGGCCCGATCTCTCCACCCTAACGTATGTGTCCAGAGTTTGTGCGCGATGCAAAGCGCCGGAAGACGGGTCTCAACGACCGCTTCGACCGCATGGTCGAGACGATGGGCGTTATGCACCGCTCGCCCGCCAAGACGCCCAAAAACAAGAAGCGCAAACCGCGTTCTTCGTCCTTCAGTAGCGCGTCTGAAGCCTTGCGTACTCCGGTAGACGACTACCATGACATTCAACCGGATAATTTGGGCAAGAACTTCTCTGTTATCAAGATGGGCACCTCTACTGGACCAGTGCAGCACTCGGTCGATGATGATGCGGATGCAAGAACGGTGCGTGCTCAATATACTTGACGCATATATGCACTCAAAATAAGCGTAGGAAGGATGGACGACTGCGTCGCCCCCTTCGCTACCTGGATGGCTCGCATCCACATTCTCGACACTGAACCAGAAGCATCCTCTCCGCCTCCTACTACCCCGAGCGTCGCGCGAGAACGACATACAAGGTTCTGCCTCTGCTCATGCTTCATCAATTACCAAAGAAGACGACGTGTTCGCCTTCACCCTGCCCGCAGAGGACAATCGGCCACCTGGCGCCCCCGCAATGGATTACAACCCTACGGTCCCACTCAAGTCTCCTTTCTCGCACGACTCTGGCCCAATGTCGCTTTCATCTCTGCCATCTCGTGCTCGTGCTACGTCTTCAGTTATCCGTGCTTCCGATGCTCCGTTCTCTACTCCAGGACCTGCTCCGCCTTCAGGATGTACCATGCCTCCGCCCCCTCTGTTTAACGATCAACAAGTATCCCAAGCCGTTCGCGCTACGTCGCGACCTCCGACTATCTCCTCACTGAGGTCGAAACCACGGCTATCGGCATTACCTCACCACGCAGCGACCGAATCCGCGTCAGCCCTTCAGCGATCAGATACCGACTGGCTGCTCTCGCCACCGTCTGCTGATCACGTACCACAGCGGCCAACTTCCATCCTTCAACAGTCACCTCCGCCTACTGCTTCTGATCTGCGCGTCCGATATGCTCCTACTCCACTCGTGCTTCGGTCGCGTCGACCGCCTCTTGGGGTATCTCATTCACCTCACATTCAAGGCACAAGCACGACGCTGCGCCCCGCATCAAGACTTTGGTCTACTGCTTCAAATTCTACTCACGCTGATGCTTTTTCTGCGCATACAATCGCCGGCGAATTCGCATACGATGACTCACCGGAGAGATTGCCTTCCGCCCGCAACTCTAGTTTTGGGCGGGTCAACGATGGTGAATACCACGGAGGACACGAATTCAATGCCGTTGCTGCTCCCCTCGTCGCTTTCTCTCCGCCGGCCAACTGTGCATTGCAATCTGACTATATGCTTGATAAAGAACGCTTCACCGATACTCATTCGAAGTCCGACAATGCTACTGACGCACGTCAAATTACTACTACTCACACCCAAGCTCACGACGAACCCGATAGCCCTCAAGCCACCGATCAAGTCCAGTCATCCTTCGCCCCAGATGGACAATCTCCAGCTGTCGCTCCGCCCGACGTTGATGATGACGCGCCGTTCTGCATGGGCATCGACGAAGATGCGTCTGCCTACTACGAAGACCCGAACACGTCGCTCACGGCCTCAGACCCCGCCGTCACGCCCTTCGCCTGTGCTGGCATAGGGCGGCAGCAAACAGACATGTCGACTTTGTCCGCGAACGAACCTGGTCAATCCGGATGCGGCGAAGGCGAAGATCCCTTACGCGACCGATACGTTGTCCGCGGACCCGCCAACATGGGCGACGAGGCGCGCTTATATGATGAGGAATCCGACGGCGCCGGGAAGGACGATACATTGGTAGACGACGATGTCGCCCTACCGGACGTGTTCTGCGCTCCTGGGCCAGCCTACCGCATATACTTCGACGCGCCGACGTCGGATCCGTCGGAGCCGGATCCGCTGGACGATGGATTTGGCGTCGAGCTGGAGGAGGTACGACAAGCGGTGCATCATGACACGAACACTCGTTCCCAACATCGTGGTGCCGGATCCGCTCGAAAGGCGGAGGTCGACTACAGTAAAATTGGTGTCGATTACGATGCACTGGACTTCTGTTGGAAGCCTTTTGACCGGAAAGGAGCAGCGCGGCGGTCTCCAGTTCCAGGGTTGCAAGAAATTCGACGGGAAGAGAGTCGACCAAGGCTACCTTCCTTAGAATTTTCCCTTGCTCGCCAGTCATCGTCTCGCCCCACTCCGCAGCGCTCGCTTCACGACTTTCATAGTACGCACGGTGACCTTGGGACCGGTCTATCCTCTCGTACTCTTCCCGCCTCTCAACCGTGGATCCCTCGCCTGGCCTCTCGAACGCAACTTCCGCCGCAGATGTACGGCACCCCGCCAGGCGCAGGTCCGGCTTCTCAAATCTCAGCGAGTATCGTGGACGTTCCCTTCCCACTGACGTCGTCACAACGAGCGCCTGTGACGCCTGTCCGCTCTGCCCGACGTGCAGTCTCCCGTCCGGTGCCGCAGGACAGCAGCTCTGTGTTGTCGCCTGTACTCCAGAATATGGACGGAGAGCCGGAGGACGATGAGAGGATGGACGGCACCGTCGCGGACGCGCAGGGCAATGGGGAGGAGTCCCAAATAAAGGAGAAGGGCATAGAAGGAAAGCCGGCCCCTGCTCTTGTGTTTGCTCCTGCACCTGGTATCTACCTCTCACCGCTGCGTGGAGATGCTACTTCGCAGTCTCAAGCTCAAGAGTCGACTCAGGAAGGAGCAAAAGAGGTCTGTCCGCTTTCTGCCAGGCGTACAAGCTGCTAAGCCAAAGTCAGGTGAAGAAAGAGCCCGAAACCACGACCATGACGGCGAAGAGCGCGAACTCTGGCGATGGGCGCAGTGTTGCAGGGAAATCTGCTTCGATGATTGTGGAACATAGCTTTCCTACTACACGCCGGAGCAAGTCGAGTAGCCGGCGGGGGAAGGTGTTGTGGTCGACACCGGCAGCT